TCTTCTACCCCTATGACAGACAAGCAAAGAAAACTGGAGATCATAGAGGTATAAGCTTTGATGCATTAACAGTCTGAATACAGAAATAGAATCACCTTCTAGCTGTGATCCATGAGGGCTGCAGTTTGCTCTATGTGCAATGATTTGCACAGGTCATGTTTCCTCTTCTTCCCCTTGGTCAGAGGACACTTCTGTGGAGCAGCGAACACTCGAAGTTTCATTGCTCACACCTTTTATTCTGTTCACAGCTGTCCTGCTTTGGGAAGTTCTCTGAACAGGAATCCAGAGTGCTGGTTTTGGCTGGGGTAGAGTTAATTTTCTTCACAGTAGCTGGTATGGGGCTATATTTTGGATTTGTGCTGGAAACAGTGTTGATAACCCAGGGGTGTTTTAGTTACTGCTGAGAAGTGCTTACACAGAGCCAAGGCCTTTTCTGCTTCTCATACCACCCCACCAGCGAGCAGGCTGGGGGTGCACAAGAAGTTGGGAAGGGACACAGCTGGGACAGCTGACCCCAACTGGCCAAAGGGGTATTCCAGACCATACGATGTCATGCTCAGCATATAAAGCTGGGAGAAGAAGGAGGAAGCGGGGGAGATGGTTGGAGCGATGGCGTTTGTCTTCCCAAGTAACCGCTACATGTGACAGAGCCCTGCTTTCCTGGAGATGGTTGAACACCTGCCTGCTGATGGGAAGTGGTGAATGAATTCCTGGGTTTGCTTTGCTTGTGTGTGTGGCTTTTGCTTTACCTATTAAACTGTCTTTATCTCAATCCATGAGTTTTCTCACTTTTACCCTTCTGATTCTCTCCCCCATCCCACCAGGGGAGAGTGAGCGAGCAGCTGTGTGGGGCTTAGTTGCTGGCTGGGGTAAAACCACGATATCCACTAATCACGATTTACCTGTTAAGACTCACATTCAAAACTGTGTGAAAAATTACAACTGCTTACAGGCAGAGTCATCACCTTTAAGTGGAGGAAACGTCTGCTTCAAGGAACAACTGGTGACATGGTCTCCATTGTTGACATACACTGATCAACTATCAGATCTGTTACACTTTCATGAAGAAAGTATGATGTCAGGTTTGCGGATATCTGTCCTGAAAGGATGTGTGTGTGGATATCCATGAGAATGGAAAAATTATCTCTTAGTTCCTCACTGATGATTGACAGATTTGTAGGAAAGCTGCAAGCTTGACTTTGCAGGATTTTTTTGTTTCTCTTCCTTTCCCCGCTTAGCTCCATCTTTTCTCCAAACAGGAACACTCATAAGTATTTGCTAATTCTTTCAATTCTTTAAAAGTCCTGTGAGACAGCTTTATATTAACGTACCAAAGCAGAGCCAAATGGCTTTGTATTTATTGTTGTCTAATAGAGGGTGGTCTATGTTACAATTTGATGGAACAGCTCCGAGTCTTGAAGGATGAACAAATAGATTAATGTGTTAACTCACTACAGTTTATTACAGTAATTAGAAATGAAACATAGCAACAGTCATATCACAGGCATATAACAATAAATCAGCAGATGAATTATGGCACCCCCTACCCCTTCTAATTCACCCTGGGGCCCGAGCCCCAAGTCAAGCCACGCTGCTTCCACCCCTGCTCCCAACTGCAAGCACCCACTTTCCTCCAAGGAAAACATCACCCAGAGTTAGCACCCAAAGGAAAGAAGCTCCACTGGGGGTTCTTCTCTAGGCAATGGCAGGAGGGAGGCCGGCTCAGCTTAGAGCCTTTGTTCTGGACAGTACACTTGTAGGGAAGACAGTACAGGAAATCTCTCTCCCAGGCCACGAAGGGACAGTCATCTTATCATTTTCATCATAAAGTTTACAGGTGTTTTGCAGTTCTTGTGGGCTGACTAGGACAAGGTCCAGAGCCTTCATCAACTTTTATTACATTACAATATCAAGAATGAAATAACAGTAAGTCCTTTCATTGGCAAACTTATAAGGCTGTCCAGTGGAATGAGCCTTGGGTTCACCTGGGGAATAAACAAGGTGGTACAGTCCCTATTCTGCTTGGGGCAATGGGCTGTCGCTCACACATTAGGAAGTATTATAGACCAGAGTTTTCTGCAAGCATTGCTGCTTGACAACTACCACTAAAAAATACAGCCAACTCAATGCAAATACTAAAGACCTTGCAATTTTCTCCTGCAGACTCATTTTTTGAGCTCAGTCCAAACTTCCATGCCCATCTTCACAAGCTGTGAAAGCTTTTTACAACCTATAGCAAGTCGCCATTGTTTTCATTAACTCTGAAACATATTGCAGAGCTCTTATGTATTCCTGCACCACTGCACAGCAGCTCTTGGGTGAGGGTGGTGTTAGGAAGTATTCTCAAGATCACAGAAATGGAAATGCAGTAAATGGGGTTAAATGTTAAAAGATGCCTGCAGCGGAATTTTACAAGATCCTTTATAAGCTAATGTCTGTTTTTTCTAACAGATATCAACCTGTTATTCTCATTTTGCTAGCGTTGGTAATGCACAACTTATACTATTCTTGCATGACACTCCTTCCTAAAACTGATGTTATATGTGCACACATGCACATACATGTCCTCTGCAGGTTTTTTTGTTGAGACCCACACCAGCTAAACAGCTTTATAGCAGCCAGTGGTTCCAGGCAATGTGCTACTTACAGTTTCTTATAGGCAAATGTCAAATCTGAAAGTCCATTGTGAATAGTTACAGAGAATTTTCTGCATCAACAGATAGCCTTCTGCTACTGACTAGTGCTTGTGATGAATGAATTAGCCATTCGTTTTCTGCCACCACTGTAGGAAGAATATGTAATCCTGTGTGAAAGAGGAAATAAGAATAGAAAGCCACTCACATCTAACAGCAAGAAACTGGAGGGGAGTGTTAACACTAGAGTTCTGACAGCAGAGACACCTATCAAACTCTGTCAGCATCATTTCTTCAGAGTTTTCCTAGGCTGGCTGATGGTGCCAGAAAGTTGAAGTATTTCTGCTGAAGCTTATAGCTCTAGAGGGATCTATCATGTAGAAGCAAGTTATGAAGCAAGGCTTATTTGCCTCTTCCTCTGCATGACCTGGCAAAGAAAGTAGGAGAAGCACATAGCTGATGAGGGCTCTGAAAGAGGGAGGGTGAGAGACTGCATCACTCTGCATAGCCCTAACTTTGATGGGAGTAATTTCCAGCTTCCTCTGCCTCAGCACAATTAAAAAGTAAAAAAAATCCACGTGAACTCCAGGGTTGCCAGGATGACATGAGCAATCCAGTATCAGGGGATAGTAGGACTGTGGGGACACCAAATATGGTGGTGGTGAGGATAAGACCCAGAACCATGAATCACTCCACATAAAATCACAAGCTATTAAAAAAAAAAAAAAAATTGTTTTGCTGTTCTTGCTTGGTCTTCTCATTTTGGATCTCTCCCTGTGCCAAAGCTGCCCCATTTATGGAATAGTCAGCCATGCAAGAGCTGTCAGATGTACTGAATAGTAGTCCTGGCTTTGTGTACCATCTGCCTTCAAGGAGGGACACAGAGAGTGTCTTCCTCTGCCTCCTTCTGTCACTATGGTCTCATCAGTGTCTCCAGCTGATGTCCAATATATCAATGCATCTTGCCTCTGGTGTAGACTACCCCTGCATCCCACTCCCTGCACTGGGAGCTCTCTTCACAACCCTCATGACTAAAATCTCATTGCATCCATTTTTCCCAGTCTCCTTTTCCCTCTCCCTTGGCCATGCTGCTGGCAGCAATGGCTATACAGATTGGTAGCTGCAGCGTGATTAAGTTATTTTGTCCCTGTCCTTTTCTATGTAATGAGAAGCTGTCAGCCAACTTTGGGTCCAAGACTAGCCTGCCAGCCTTTGTACATTTGCAGATATAGCTGACAGGAACTAAGTGCATTTGAGAGATTTTCAAGTTAGCTCCTGAGAGACTGACATCTCCTAAAGGTGGTGCTAATACTCATGATTAGTTTCTAAAACTTGCTACAATTAATATGGTCACAAATTAATTTTCCATGTGACTAGGCAATAGATTTTCAAAAAAATGGGGCAAGTCTTGTACTTAATATAGTAGCAGTAGACCCCTCAGTGATCTAAAACCAAAGCCATCTACGTGTATAAGAAGTGGATAATGGATTGAGCTGCTTCTCCCACATGCTTCATTGCTCCCCTCACCATAATGCTGCAACTGATTTGCACTCAACCTCCTGTGAGGTGAGAAAGCAACAGGCAGAACAAAGGTATTACCTGAGGTTAACCCAGCTCCACCTAAGTTCCATGCTCAGGTAAGTCCCAAGGGCTCATGTGCTCCAGCAGGCAAAAATGGGGAAAGCCCAAATGTCCCCTCTGTGCTGACTGGCCAGTCAGTTGACTGGGTGGCAAGTGCTTTTGGAGAATGGGTAAGAGTCACCTTTCCACTGAGATTTTAGATCCTGCACCACCCCAGTTGTACAGTTTAGAAGGTATCTCTAACAACTACTTTAAAAAAAGATACATTTTTCAGACCTTCCCTCTTAAATCAGACCATAATGCTCTCAAAGGTGGTGAAAGAGTTTGCAAAGTCACCATGAACACCAGACCTGCTCATCAGAAGATTTTGAAGAGATACAAGGGAAACCTTGGCTGGTGAACAGATACAAGGGAAACCCTGGCTGGATTGCTGCCACTTATACTGCTTGAGGGATGAGGCCAGTGGACTGTGGTGAGAGCACTGCTAGAGGGGAATATAATCTGGCACTAAGTTCTGTGTAATGCAGCTTCAAGCATCTGAAGTTACTTGCTCCTTTCCTACAAGATTCATGATTGACGCTCTTGCAGACAAAGAGTGGTTTTACTCTAAAGCAGATTATTTATTGCTTCATATGTCTAACAAAAAATTAAAATCATTTATATAAAAAAATGGTGTTCTAAAAATATTCATTGTGAAAAACAACATTCTTCATCCTTCCCCTAACTCTTACCAACAGACCGAAATCTACAATTTATAAACAGTCTTCCTAAAACAAAGATAGGCCATTAAGGATCAACAGGAGGACAATAATTTCATACAGGTAAAATACTGCACAGTACAACAGATCACACCAGGGATTTGCTATAAGAGTGCTTAGGATGATAAACAATGTCTCCAAACACCAGTAAAATCTCAGCAGCAGTCAGTCACCAACCCATCTATCAAGCACCCATAAGGACAGGTTCAGCCCATTTTGTACAAAGGAAACTGTTCTTTGTTTAACCTCCATTAGTCATTCAGAGAAAAATAATCCTCATATTTCATAGTATAGTTGAACAAGAAAAAATCCATTTGATACAATTTTTTTATTTTCTTGATTTGTTCTGAGTTCAGCTGTCTGAGATATTCCAAGGTGATATCACCGTTAGTTCGTTTCTCTGAGCCATACCTCTTCAAGCTGGGGTAGTGCAGGCTCTCTGGTGCTCCAATGACTTTCAGAACATGCTCAGAATCTAACCCAAGGGTTTCATACTTACCCAAAATATCATAGTGAATGTTGCAAGGATCACAGAGCAAAAACATTGGTTTCCAGTGAATGTCAAGACTATTAGGCGGTTTTGCTATAATGAAGTTGACAAACTCCTGAAAACTCACTTTTTCAGAAGAATTTTTGTTTTTCCTGAACATTGCCTTAATCTCATTAGCAACAGTGATACTGTAGAACGGCTCAGAGTGCAGAAGTTTGTCTCTGTAAGCTGAAACCAGCCGTTCCAAAGGATGTCTGGTGAACATCACTTTGGTGTAATTATTCAGAAATTCCTTTTGTATGGCAGGAGGGTAAGTCCCCAGCTTTTTGATCAGCGAGGTTTGGTGGATGTGATCATGCTCAATTTCAGAAGCTTCTGCATTCAGGTCTGCTTGGAGAAGAAAAATAGTTCTCTTCCAATTGGAGCAACCTACCTTGGGCACCTCACAGTAGATAAATTTATGTTTGTGCTCCACAAAGAGCTGGTTTGCAACATGAGAATCTAACTTGCTTCTCAATTTAAGAAAGTTATTCTTCAGGCAGACAGAAGCCAGCGTGCTTTTGCGATCATTTTGAATTGCCAGCCAATCTGCAGTGGGATCAGGAAAAGCACCTACAACAAAGGAAGAAATTTAAACCATTAGTGTGAAACAGACTTATATAAGCCTCTTTCTTTGTGACAATTGTAGCACTCAATCTATCTCCCTGCATACAAAAGCTAATGAAGATGCTAAAATCAATTTTTTGTTTACTGTCACCGGACTCCACTATGGCAAACATGCAATAAACTATCCTGCTTAGTGAAAAGTTTGTTAAATTAAAATGTTCAACATGTTAGCAATATTACTCTAAGTAAGATGGATGTTCTAACACTTCTAATGTCAACTGGCTTTTGTAGTGCTCTTCCTCTCATAAATTGCTAAGATAGCTATCACAATAACAGGGCCTTGGATATTTTCATAGTATTGTTTATCACTTAGGCTCCATAGTCACTTTCTAATACATTTGGGAAAGGTGTCCCTGGTTCTAGAAAACATTAAGTCTTTCTGTTGGTAAATTCTTTACTCACCTGTTAGGTTTTTTTGTCTCCTACAGAAAAACCCAAAAAGAAATATCCCAAAAATAAAATTTGGGAGAAGGAAAACTAACACCTTCTGGTTCATATTATTTTTACAGGAAGGAGGATGACGTGATCTCTAAAGTGGAAATCTGCCTTTCTGTCAACAAGGAAAGATAGTACAAGTTAGATTTTGTATGACTGATATAACAAAGATAACATGGTATTCTCTTACAGAATTTATGATAGCAGAAAGACCTTTCAAGCCCTATAAAAACAGGCTTTGCTAATAAGTAAAAATTCTCCTATGAAAAAGACTCACTACAATTATACCGTTAAACCAAACAGACAAATAATATGACCACTTCAAAGTATTACAAAATTCCCCCCTTTCTCATAACAATGAACTGTGTATGAGCAAATACTTCTCCTTTCTCCTCATTTAAAGCTGGTCTTCCTGCCAAGCAAACATTCTCTCCCTTCACACTGTGTAATGATTACCTTATTTAGGATTACACAGATGTATTTTTTTTTTACTTAACCTTACTTGGAGTCTGGGAGTACAAAGTTTTCTGTAACCTGCAACAGGCCTATCCATAAGCCTATGATGCGTTCAGGATGAGATTCTTCCCATCTCTTGCCCTGAAGCTTTCCACTTTGTACAAATAAATCAATATTCACTGCAGGAGAAACTCTTCCACATTCCAGCAGAGAATCCTAACTACTAACAATAAATGGATTCTTCCATTCTCTGTCTCCTCAAGACACTGCAGTGTATGTACGTCTGCTGCCATTACTGCTGCAGCATAAGAGCCCCCAAATGGTTCACTATGGCAGGAAGCATATAGAAGCAGCAAAGGAAACAACAGAAAAGGAGATGTCCCTTGTTCACAGGTAAAAGGAGAGAAGGCCAATGCAGTCCAACACTCAACATATTTTCTCTCCTGTGCTCACTCATTCTGTCCTCTTGCACTTCCAGGAGAGAGAGCTCTCTAAGTCCTCTGTGCAATCTTACTGTGTTGCCCCCATTAGAAAGCTCTTCATCAGCGTGCTTTTAATCACTTTTTATTTGAAGTAGCAAAATTAAGTGCAAAGCCATAACTACTGGCAAACACGACATTCTATTTCTGTCCCATAAAGTCTGCACCATCAAAAAAGTCAAGCAACACTGTCTTCCTTTTCCACTTTTCAATTTTTCACCCTGAATCTGCTGGCAATAAAAACTTCATAGCCTGGATTTCATGTTTTGTTTTTACAAAGATACAACAGGACCACCCTGGAAGTTACTTGTGGTCCTCGCCACTCCCCAGCAGTGTGGATGTACATAAATCCCAGCTGCCATATGGAAACTGGTTTCCTGTGTGTTCTGAGACAGCAGTAGAGACAGCCCTAGTTAAATTGCTGAAAATGTACTTGCACACTAGGTTTCTTCTTTTCAGAGCTGACGGGTGATTATTATATCACACATCTTTACCAGAATATCTTCAAACTCATACAGTTAACAGCATTACTAATTATTAAACCTCTCTTAGTGTAGGCATGACCTGAGAGGGATGCCTGTTCACTATGTCTGACCTGTAAACATTGTTATGAACAAATCTGCAGTCACATATATTAACAATTTACTTGTGTTTACTTTATACTGTTATGATACTCATTCAAATGAATGCAGTATTTTTACACATGATGGCATGTCGCCAGTATTTTTGCATTTTCTTGGCTGCGTAAGACCATTATAAAGGCTACAAGAAAAAATATGGGTTGATTTTCAGCCTTTAACTTCTTCTTCACTGCACATCAATTCTCCCTTCACTGTGCGATCTATTGACTTCTAACACATCAAAGGCTGTTCTCAAGGCCACCTAAAGTCAGTCAGATTGTTCATTGATCTCATGAGGTCCAAGATTGAGTGATCCCTCTTCATTCTTTTTCAAAGGGGTTTGAAGACACGATTTCACACTGTGTAGCAATTAAAATAAATATGACACTAAATAATTCTGTACAGGGACTCCTTGTTAGAGTATGCTTAGGAGAAAGAGGTTGGGCTTAATTTACCTTAAATGCTATCACTTCAGGGTAGTTACTGTTATCATACTTGTCTCAGGAATCAGAAAATGAACTAAACTAATTTACCCTATTTAGATACTTGTATCATATATATTTGTTAATTAAATTACTGGTACAGAATATAAGGTCTGCCATAATACACATTTCATGTTGAAACATGTCAATGAGTCACCAGAGGGAAATGGAAGAGACTTGCTTCCTTGTTTATGAAGCTGTTTATGAGCTAGTCAAACACAGGAGACAACTCCTCTTCTAAAACATTTGCATATTTGTGGAAGCAAAAGAATCCTCGTTTTAATTGAGGAGAATGGTCAGACCATAAGGAGGGATAGACAAGGTCCAAGGTGAAATCTGTCTGGACCCCTTAGAAAACTTCAAAGTGCAGACTGGCTGTAAGAGCTAAAACCATCCATCAAAAAGTGAGGTCAGCATGATGATTCAGAGAAGCTACCTAAAGGTGAAGTCCAAAGGCTTCTTCTGAAGTTGTTTTCTGATGGGATACCCCAATACGGAGTTCTGTGTAATACAAGTTCTCCAACGATGAAAATCACCTAAGAGCAACCTGAGGAATAAGAGGAAAGAAAATTGAGACCCATTTTGTCAGAAGAGGGACAAGTCACCTGGAAATTAAAAAGGGGGGAAAAAATCCAAAACAAACACACTTTTGTGATACATTCATTGTCAGTAGATCAGATGAACTTTTTCTTCTATTTCTTCACTTATGTCTTCTCCAGGTATTTGTAATTGTGTTGTCTATTTTAGATGTAATAAATTAATACTTCTATTTGCGTTTTACCTCATCCTACCTTGAATAAGTGTGATTTAAGGTGACTTGGTAACTACAAGGCATTCTTCAATGAAGGTGTGGTGAGTCTATTAACACAACAACTACATAATAAATAGTCTAATTCTGCTGTAACCGAAGGGCAGCAGAATGGGGTCCCACAGGCAAGGTGGAAAGACAGTACCATAGGATTCAAAAGAAAGGCAGAAATATCTTCTAGTGAAAAGTAACACAGCAAGGAGTCAGAAACCTAAATGTCTCTTTGGAACTAACATATCCCCAAAGAGAGTAGAAAATACTAAAAAAGGGGCATTAATCTGCTTTGTTCTTGTTACACATAGTCGTGGGGGTTTTGTGGATTTTGTTTTTTGCTTTTTTAATTTTTAATGAAGCGTAAAATCTAGATAACAGCCTTATACCACACTGTTGGTTTTTGCTTGTTCTTCAGATCACATCATGATATATCAACCATCATAGCTATGGCTTAATATTTTCAACTCTGCTTGTCTTACTGGATTCTGCAGATTTCATCAGAAATAATTTTATGACTTTTTCTTGGACATTACTAAACAGTAAACCAGGCAGTAAGAGGAAAGATCCTCATAGAACTCTTTCTTGCAGAACCCTTTCAGAAGGATTTCTATCAGGTGATGAGACCTTTTGAGGCCTGTCCGTTAACTAGTGTTTAATTCCTTCAATGTTTGTCCAGCTGATTTGATGGCTTTCTAGCCTCTTAGCTAAAACATGCTGCAGTATCAAGTTGAATGCTTTATACAATTCTAAATCCACTATATCAATGTTATTACCTTGATCAACCAAATCCAAACAAAAATAGTAAGTTGGTTTGGTGAGATACATTTCCTGTAGCATAATCCAAAGTTTCTATGTGAGAGCAACCAGAGCAATTGCTTAAGCCAGGAGTGGTACCAAACAGGGAACAGATTATTGGAGAAAGCGATGCCAATCATCTCATGTGCATGAGAGATGGGAAAAAGGCCTCAAGCCCTCATTTTATGAGAAATACTTATTGAATTCCAACCTTCTTTGCACTAGTGGTAATTCTACCATCTCCCTCTACCAATCCATTGTTAAGAATCTTTTCTTCCCAATATATACACTCCTTATAACAAAACAAAAAAAAGCTGCATCATGTTGTTCATATCTTTGTTCTCAAGTTTGCTGAGGATAAAATGTTCTTTCCATCCTTCTGTTTCCTTCAAGAAATTTATAACGATTTTCTGTTTTTAATTACTTTTAACATCCCCATTTTCTATATGCTACACTGGGTATGGAGGAGTGGCTGGCAACTTACTTGCACATCCCCTGTATGTCAGGCTAGATCATTTGACCCAGAAGAGCTCTCTATCTCAATGATGAGATTGCACTTTTCCAGGGCTCTCACAAAATTGTCACACGCCTCAGTTATCCGATAATTTTTTTCAGTGAAATTGCTTTCTCTTGGTTCATTTGTCTTGTACTTGCTGTCCATTTTGTGATACTAGACCTTCTGCAACCATCCCAAACATCTGTTAGCAGACCGGACCTTAACTGTTCGTACCATATGTTGCTACACCATGACCACTCACACTTATCCAACCACCAGCTTTGGTTTTGTAATGAGTTCCTTTTCCCCCGACCAGAATGAGGTCTGATACAGAATGTCTAGCACTCTTTCAATTAGGAAATATTTAGAGTGTCCAAAGATGTTTTAATGATAAAGTCATATGAGTACATGACCTAGCACATCACACTCAGATTGAAGTTCTCCCTCCTGCCATGCAGGTTTATTCCTAGCACAGGCGCCAAAGGAGTAGATTGCATTGCCTTGAACAGGTATCACTGGTACATCATTCTGTCCTTGGACTGCTGAAACAATGATTCATAATACAGCATTCCCTAGTCCTTCTCCTGGAACTGCTGAACCATTGCAATTGAAAAATCTGCAGTTTTTTAAAGAAGTATTAAAAAAATCAGTCTGAAAAAACCAATATTTTGATACTTTTATAAACAATTAGAAGTCCTATAACTGGAAATGTTGAATAAAGATAAGTCTTTATGTATGGCACCTGTTACCCAAGTACAGAAATACATGTACACACACTTGTGTGTGTGTGTGTGTGTATATATATGTATTTCTGAACTATATGCATGTGTACATATATATATACACACATATATGTGTAGTTCAGAAACACATTAATATCAGTTACAGCATATTATTTGTTTCAAGTAAACTAAGTAGGTTGATAAGGATTTAAAGTTTCCTGGTGATAAACTTAGGAAGGTGTGTCTCAAGCTAATTTTTTGCAAGGACAGACCTTGGTTACAGCTGAGCATATGGAGTGATCGTCTGAACCCTACCTGATGATAAGTGGGACTTTCAGGAGTAAAAGAATGAAATTACAACAATACTTATTTGTGTTCCTGATACATTTGAAGCCAGAAGTAGAAAAAGGTACCAATAGGGCAGCTCAGCGGAAGGTAGGGAAAATCTCTGGAAGCAGATAACATTCTCAGTTGCTGAGCGCCATTCTGTACTTAAGCCCTGTTAATCCCTTCAAAAAGACACTGCAAATACATACATACTGATATGTACATAGGTACATAAAAGGTGAGGAAGAGATGACATGTAGAAACAGCCCAGGAACAGCCAGAATAAAAAACGAACAGGAAAAACAAGCTTTGCTGGATGCAGTTCTGAGTGTGCTGTTCTAACAGGGTGAACTGCACCTTTAGAAGAAAGACCCTTGCTCACCCAAATCTGCAGCACCCTTGCTCTGGTACAACTTGCTATGGATGGACAGGAGGGAGGGAGACCCCAGAAACTGGAGTCTCAGGAAGCAGGCTGGCCAGCTCCATGAAGTGGAAAATCATTAGTGGTTTAGGAACCTCCAGCAGGCTGCAGACAGCCAAGGGCTAGAATGACCATCTGATTTGGGTCATTTTGCCAACAAGAGCCAGGGTCTGACATCACCTCACTTGCAGCAGCAAGGGCTGAAAGGTGTTATGCAAGAATGGGTACAAGCTCAGAAGAAAGACAACATATGAGCTAAACTGGGGGCTACCGAGAAAGAGGCTGACAGATGTCCTACAGAATAGCATACTTCACAGCAGTGAGGTGGGTACAAAGTCACAATTTCCAACGTAAGCACAAGCTAAAACTCTTGTTCCGTGCAGCAGTCATTTCAGCCCTCTATTACTGCATCAGATTTCTTTCTGGTCTCAGCAACTGTAGTGCTACCTTCCTCATTGCCATCATTAAACTGCTTGTTATTCTTATTACACCTTGCCTGTCTTTTAGCTTCTCCTTCCCTATTTCATCCCATGTCATCTCCCTATCTTGCTTTTCAAGGTTTTTCTTTACCTGTCATTTCACATGCAGCTCAACTTTACTTTCTGATCACTGATATTGCTAGCCCCTGCTAGCATTAGCCCCTGCTAAAAAACAAATAGCTTCTGCTTTCTCCTCTGCTGCCCCCCTTTTTGGAAGAAGTTTCTGAAGCACCTACAGAGCTATTACATTTTTCACCTAAAATCACTCCTTAAAATCCTACTTTTGGGGAATGCCAACACCAGTTAGCCTGCCAGTGTGCTAAAACTGTTACCAACCAACCCACAAAAGAGCGAGTGAAAGGAAGAGCCAATTTGGAGATGAAAAGAACCAAAGTGAGGAGAAAAAAAAAAAAAGAGTACATGGGAAAAGGCAGCACAGAGTCTGACAGAAAAAATGCCAGAGAGGCAGGGAGCAGCAACCTGAGGACAAGTGGTGGAGATGGGGGCATGGGAAATAGAAAGGCTGTGTAGCCTGCTCGAATGATACTGTGGGAAAGGGAGGTTGAGAACGGGAATGGAAAAGACACAAAGTATAATTCAGTGAAGGTGGAGAAGAACAAATTCAAGGAAATGAGTATAGAAAGGAATAATGCAAAACTATCAAAAAAATTACCACAGACGTTTAAAGAGGAATAAGATTAAATACACTGCAGTCACTCACACTCTGGAACCCAACCTTTACTATGTGATCAAACTTGTGTCTGTTTTCCTTCCTGCAGTTGTAGCCAGAAAGGCCACAGGCTTCTGATTTTAAGTATGGCTACTTCACATTGATATTGTCAGGGAGCAGTGAGGGACAGCTCTTCCCTTTGGGATGGGGAGCTGGGAATCAAGTGCAATAACTACACAGCCAGTGTGGCAGGGGCCTACCAGCCTGGATTCATGACCACCCCTGAAAGGTGAAGACCTGGAGATGGTGGCCAGGTTCAGCCAAGAGACCAGATCATCAGGCAGAGCCACGGTGACATCAGCTCATAGGTGGGCCCAGCCTGGCTGAGCCATGGGGAGTTGGAGACCAGCCCTTCTGCGGCATCACTGGGGCAGGGACTGATGGCACTGGGGGGCTGAAATGGTGTCCTGGGCTGTAGGCAGGGTGGGAGAAGCCCCACAGGGCTGGGCAGGGACTGTCGGTGCCCTGTTAGTGCTTTTGGGGCCTGATAGATAATATGAGAACAAAGCACACCCCCCCCCTCTGCTTGGTTACCTGGTAATGGGCTGTGGGGCTTTCTTATCTAAATGCTTAATTCAAAATCCAACGCATGTATCAACTGCCATTTAAACCACTGCAAAACCAATCATAGGAGAGCAGCCTTCACCACTTGCTTTTAGGGAATCTAGATTAGCCCAAGAAACTTGGAAAGGAGGAAGAAACAGAGAAAAGGAAGTATGGAAGAAAAGCTCAGAACATGATGCACGCCTACCACGGTGGCAATGAATGACATCCTCCCAGGCTTGTTTCATGGGAGATGGGGCCTCACAAAATTCCTCTGCTTTTCTTATTATATTGATAACTAGGTCTCTGGGTTTTCATGTGTTTTACAGTTCCCTCCCATATTTCTCTTTTCAGTTACTATTGGTAATAGCAATGTTATCCTTGCCATTCAGGTCTACCCACCCTGTCTCAACTCTTGACCCCCGCTGTCCCCTCCTGATTCTCACATGCCTGTGTAAACTTGTTTCTTTCATTCCTGCCATTGCACACCAAATAGCATAGCCAGAACTGTCTGTAAAAGTCCTGGTTGCTTAGCACACAGCCCCCAGGCAACCTCCTGGCTGCTGTTCACCTCTTTACATCCTTTGTGTATTTGCTCCACTAGTACCCCTCTGACATAACTGATGACAGCCATGATCTCTCTTTCTCTTTTTACACTCCAGTGCATACAAAATGTCTCTATTTAAATTAATTTCCTTTTTGCTCCCATCCTCTCCAGCTTCTTCTATCATTCTAGACCAGCTTTTGACCGTCATTTTCAGGATCCGACACCGTTTTGTCCAAAACCATACCTCTACTTTCATTCTCTCCAGTTCTTTCTTTTTATACTCCTCCAAAGGCTCCTGTACAGGAATCATGAACAAGTCCTTACACCAGTGTTTTGGTGCCTGCTCTTTTACAAAAATAACATCTTCACCTGAAACGTCCTGACACTTACTGACAAACTGTGCATATGCATTCTTCTCTCTTCCTACATGAATCTGGACCTATTTTTCCTTTCCTTTCCTTTCTGGTCTCCTCTGTATTGCAGGACAAGCTGTTGGCAAAAATGCTATGTTTAAAGTCTGTTTTTATGAAACATGTTTTTACATCATACTATGGCACATGCAGTATCAAATATTAAGAAGTTAGAAAACAGTAGGATTAAAGTGGTGTGTGAGCTAAATCAGAGAGCATAAGATGAAGTATCTGCTGGCTTTTGAAACTAAAGAGCTGACATTTCAGAGTATTTAACGTTACAGTACACTCTAAGTTTGAAATAATCTTGCTGATTCAGTTACAGATATGAATGCTCAAAAGATCTGCAAATCTCGTTTCCAGAGCCTGTTCCAGTACCAGCAAATGGAGAATGGACAGTCAATGAGAGTCTCTGAAAAGGTGGGCGCCCCACACCATGTGGTATTATTGTGGCAGACAAAGAACCCAAACTCTCATCCTAAAACCTCTTGCCTGATTCACTGCACACCTTTCCTCATCTGCTGTAGATAGTGGACATCCTACTGCACAGCCCTAGAGCATCTCAAGAGCAAGTCCATCCTGTGAGCTGAGAGTGTCAAGTTGTGTGGAATACCTTGTTTCTTTAAAAACGAAGTGTTGAAAAACTACCAAAAAATGTATTCATGTGGTATCATAACAACATGCACAAAAATCAGTCAGTGGTGAATCATTTAGCTCCCTTGACTGATCTTATGATACTCACTCCAATGGAATAACCAATAGTGGCAGTGGGCTGCTATCTTCTGAACAAACCCAGCACCAACAACAAGGAGACCCAAGCTCCTCAGACTTACCTGCTGACAGCAACAAAGTGGCAAGACTCAGGCCTGTGGAACGCCATTCCTAGCACTAGAGGAGAATGGTCCCTAGCACAGCTTGTCCCTGCTTCCCCTGCTCCTACCATCAGCATGGCCTGCCCAGAATCTTCCACTCCTGCTACCCCCAATACCATCTCCTTGCACCCTACTCCCCAGCAGCTCGCCAACACCGAGCTCCCCTCCTGCTGGACATATATTTGCATGGGCATCAGTACTTTTCCCTCAGTGCCCGCCCCAGGTGTGACCCCTTTTTCCCCAGTCCCTGCTTCCACTTCTCAGGCAAAATTTTAACCCAGTCTCCAGCAAATCCTCACCTCACCTCCAAAAGCCGTCGTCGTATCATTCGCAGTCAGCTTGCCCAGCAAATCCTGTTTTCTGGCTTCCCAAATGCTCATCAGATCTCACCCCGATTCTGCTGTTCAGCCTCCCCCATGCACAAGCCAGCTCTTTGCTGGCTCCCACTGCCAGACTCCTCCCTTAGTCTCCTCAGTCAGCCTCAGAGCCCACCACACCAACCACGCTTCCGAGCCCTGCTCATCAGATCTGTCTCTCCTTCTTCCAAACCTCCCACGCAGACCCACTGCTTCTCGCTCTCAGCAATGTACTCAGCTAGTCCCAGGCTCTGCACTTCAGCTCCTCTAGCTATTTTAGTATCTCCCAAACTATACTGACACATTTTCCTTTCCTTTCCCTCCCACATCAAATTTCACAGCACTCATCAAGGCACAGTGTCTTCCTGCTGATTTCATTCTTTGAATCTATTTTGCCAGTGATCCCCAACACTTCCCCCCAAAAAATCTTGCTCATGCTTGCCTTGTTACATAAAAGGGGTGGTTTACTCCCCTGTGCCACCTCAGTCCAGCAGAGGTTTCAACTGAGAATATACAAGGGGAATCCCCTTAGCCTCATTTTTCAAATGCTTTTTCCAAAGCCTGCAAAGTACCTGAACTTCTTAGAGGAAAGGTCACCAGAACCATTTAAGATGAGAGAAAAGAGCACAGTTTCCAAAACACCCTGTATAAAAAACAATAAACTATTTTTGCTCAAAGACTTTAAAAAATCATCCTGAGGCAGATATCTAGCATGGACAACTTCTGCTTAAACACTTGAAATCTGACAAAATCCTGTGCAGCTGCAAACTGTATTGAAATGAGAAGAGTCAAGATACTTATTACCCTTAGCAAAGCCAGAAAGTGAATGAAAGCCTCTGTCTCTTCATTTCAGGCACCAGAATCAGTAGCATCAACTTTTAGCTGTATGCTGAACTCCCTTGTTTTTAACTGAGGAGAGCTATAGCAGTGAAAAATAGACTGTAAAAAAATCCTCTGTAGAGTCACTTCATCATGGTGTGATTTCAAAAGATAAATATTATCTCAGTTTATTTCTTGAGAGATTTGATGGCAAGTTCTAAATAGACCAAAAAAAAAAAACAACCAAAAAACCCCCCCAAAAAACCCACAACCCCTTGTGATAAAGAAATCTCTCTTTGTGGAGATTTGACTACACTATGAAAATCATGGTAACATTAAAAGCTACTAACAATCCAATTTTACTCACCAATCATACAACCTCAGTGGAGATTTCCCATTCCTCTGAGTGATGGTGAATAGAAAATAAAGATTCAGACAAAGAAAGATCAGTCCAAAGAGACATATTATTTTAATTTTATGTCTAGGTCTGCAAAGGAAATAGGGGAGAGGTTTTTGTCTTCTCCTTACCTGGACTTCAAGGCTGGGCAAAGTGTTTCTGCATCCACACAGATGCTTTCCCAGGAGAGCATCTGAAACACTCTGTCTTTGTTTTGATTAAATGCCTAGCTAAAAGATGCTAAAAGATGCAAGTGTTTCCCTATGAATGTTTAGGTGAGCATCTCCAGTTGCATATTACAAAGCAGTGTGCTGTGTCTGTCTCCGGGTATAACGAGCAGCATTTAACCACTCCCTGCCTATGGTCTACAGCAGCTGTCAGAGCCTGCCAAGTACTTCAACAGCAGCCTGCCAAGAGGCTGCCTGCTAAGCAGCCAAGGAGGAGGATGGTTGGGAATATGAGGGTAAAGGTAATTTGGTTGAGAGCAACTGTGATGTGATAATGTACATTATTTTTAGATGAGGAACAAGAGGAAAGATCAATTCAAACCCAATGGACTCTATACAAGACGATTCCAATAAACCCTGGGAACTGGAAGGTAAGTTCTCATGGGAAACATGGCTAAAGCAGAAGGAATTCAGTAGAGTTGGCAGTTTCTTAAAGAAATGATGTTTAGGGTACAGACACAAACAATCCCACACAGTAGGAGGATAGGAAGTATGGTCAGAGATCAACTTGGCTAAGCAACACGGTCTTCAGTGACCTGAAACACAAGAAGGAAATGTACAGAAAATAGAAAGCAGGTCAAACTCCTAAGGACAAGTATGAAAGAATAGCACAAGATGCTGAAACAAAGTCAGAAAGGATAAAGCACAAATTTAACCGCAAAAAGCGATGGACATAAGGGATAGCAAGAAAACAAACCTGTGAGGAAAAGAAAAACCTAGTGATAGCTCACTTGCAGAAGGCTGAAGTACATTTTCCATCACTCTTCATAGAAGGGTGATCTGTAATTACATGACTAATAACTAAACTCGTAAGAAAGAATCCATCTAAAATAGGGAAAGAACAGGTCTGAGAATAATTTGCAAATACTGCAGTTCACCTCATCCTCAAGTATGCCTCCACAGCATGTCTCCAGAAGAGCACTCTATTAGTCATTGACTGTACTAAGTCTCCCTTGGCTGTGATAGGAACGTACACCCCTGCACAAATATAGATGGCTATTTTATAGGCAGCTAAAGTTACGTGAAATGAGTCCTATCCATAGTGACAGCTGGGCCTGAGGAAGTGCACATGAAGATACCTTGAGAACAGAGAAGCAAGTTCAGAGCTGTTGGCTTCCTCTGAAAACTCTCAGAAGTTGTGTGAGAAATGTGTGAAGAGGTGAACACAGTGGTCATCTTTAAAAGGCCAAGGACTGAGGAAGGGACCAATTCTGGAAAAATAAGTGAAAAAAATAAATTATTCATAAAAGGTTAGAGATAGTTAAAAAAGCTATATTGCTTTACATTTTTAGCACATTGGCTATTAATTTCTGTAACAGGGCAACAAATCTCATAAATAGAGAAGCAGCAGGTCATGTAATATGTTTTAATTTTAATAACGTTATTGACATTAACTCATAAAATTTTCAAAAGTAAATTAAAGTGAAACTACTTCAGGGAGAGTGCAAAACTGTCGGGGGGGTCTGGGGGGTGGGGTGGGTGGGACGGGACACGAAAACCAACCAAACACACACCACAGACTTTAAGATTAGTTTTTAATTATTCACTATCAAACTCAAAAAATATAATCAGTGAGATTCTAGCTGGGTCTGTTCTGTGCCAGGTAATGGCCCAAGTCACTAATGACTTGTATAAAGGAACAATCCTTCAACCTTGTAGATAACAATAAGCCCAGATGAACAGCAAACACATTGCATTATACATTAAATTCAGAATGCTCTTGACAAATAAGAGAAATTATCTGTAGGAGAAAACACATTGCAATGCACTGGTGTTTACAAGTGTGAGGTTCTGGGAATAATAGTTGTAAAGATGTAGGATTGGCAATGACAAATTAGGCAGCCATTCTGCCAAAAAGGGATAAGAGGGGTAGCAGTCTGTCACAAGCTATACATGAATAAGTAGCGTTTTGCCATATGTGTACAAGAATATAAACTGCATATTAGGAAGATAAGATAAACTGTTTTGCTTGTACAATACATGAAGGAATACCTCCTATTATATTTCTGGCTAGCACGCAACCAGTGGCACTGTGTCCTGTTCAAGCAAAACTGTTCAGAGAGAAGGTAGACCAGCTGGAGAGAGTCCAGAGAAGAGCAGAGAAAATGGTCAGTTGTCTGGGAAAAAAAAGCAAGTAAGAAAGATTGAACAAATTGGGGTTGCTCAGTCTAAAGAAAAGAAGGCCAACTGAACACTTGAAAATTATCATCTACATAAGTTACCTGAAAAGAGGTAAGGAGAGATTAAATTTTTTTTATCTGTAGTGGATATAAAGTGACGGGTTTAAACTATGACACTGAAGATTATGTTAATATATTAAGAAAATCTTATTAACAATAAGGATGATTAAATACTTTTTAATTTCTGAGGTACAGTTGATTCTCTCTTGGAGCTTCAAAACGCACAAGATGAGGTCTTGAGATCTTTTCCAGACCCCTTTTCTGTAAGTCTGTGGTTCATCCTGTTGTATAATTTAGAAGTTCCATCTTACCTCTCTAGCAAAGCTACATTTATCAAAGTTTTCATGCTAAATTATACAAAGCCAGATTGTTGTTTCAGTATAGTGACTTGAAACCAGCAAAGACACTACAGGGCTTACCACAGCCCAGACTGGCACGATGCCACTTTTTTTTTTTCTACTGTACATCCTTTTAGCTGTCATAAGAAATGTGAAGAGTTGTGGGAAAAGGACTGCTATTTTCCAGAGACTGGCATATCTGATATTTGATGGTTGTGCACTGCTTTTCCAAATGTCAGAAATGTGCCTGCCTCTTTCCTGGTGATTCCTATTGGAGTCTGTTAAAGAAGTACTCTTATCTGCTGAAGCCTGCCCTTCTCGTTAGCTACTCCACAAACCACTAATAAGACATGGAGCTCATTTGCCTCAGGGGGCACTTATTAAGATGAGATGGAAGAGCACTAAACTGAGTGAAGTGAGATGTGGGCAGAAAATATGGAGACATACTTTGTTAGAGGGCTGCAGAATCAGGTTGCTTCATCTCTGATTTTTTTCATGTGCTTGTTTTTTGTATTAATCAAACTTCAAGATCATATGAATTTAATAAAGTATCCTCACTGGGCAGAAAAGATTCAATTCCTTTTGCGTGCCTGGCAAAAGAACTGTATCATATGGATGACCAGATGAAAGAAAATCTCACAGAGGGGTGTTTGTTGTACTAACGCATTACAGGAGTTCCTAGGACACATGACTCTATTGCCATCAAATACCAGTGCTGGTCATTACCTATATTGCCTCTGCAATTCACTTATGTAGACATGTTCAGGTGATTTTGTACGGGAACAAACTCCTTAAAACAGTTTTAACCTTGCAGAAAAATTACATTTTTCACATTTTACAAACTATTTGAGCCAGGAAAAATCCACCTGATACTGCTTGGTGGCCTTCTGAATTTCTGTTGAGCACTGCATTTGTCTAAAATACACAAGATAATCTGTTTCTGTGAGACATACTTTTTAAACTCAGAGTAATATACAACATAGCATGAAATTCATGCTTACCTAATATAGAATACTACAAGAGTCATACAAAAAATATTGTTTTCACAAGGTCACTATCCTA